CAAAATGCAGACTGCGCTGCTTGCTGGACTCTCATCTTACACCTTGGCCAGTCCAGGAGCGATGTGTGTGTGTCTGGGTGGTGGCAAATAGGCAGCTGTACAACCCCTTCCATCAAGTGTGGGGTGGGATGAAGCCCCAGCTTATGAAACCATCTCCCAGTTATGCCAATCTGGAGAAACACACCAGCTCCTTTATCTGCACCTTGAGAGAAAAGCTTCTGGGGAAGCAGAAAGCAGGCTGGAGGCATCTTCTTATCTGCAATGGCAGCTCAGAAACTGTCGCACCTGCCAAAGATGTGAAAGCCAAGGTGAGGTTTTCAGTAAAAGTGGCCCCAAGGGATAGTGAGACTTGCAGCAACTTTCTTGCAAGTGGTTTGGAAAACCGCTGTGCTCAAGGGTGCCATTTGTGTTAATGCAGCCAAAGGATTTTGAGAAGAGAGAGATCCCAGGGCTTCTGTCACTCTCTGAGTTATGGTGTCACATGTTCCACTGCTGCTCACACCTGGAGCAGTCACAAGAACTTCACACTTCAGCCACGAGCCCTTTTGTGATTTACAGGAGTTCAAAAATGAGAGGTGCCAGGCCCATGCTTCCCTGCACAGCAATATGAATTTGGGAACTCTGAGATTTGGCCAGAAAACACAAAGGTCCCAACTCTAAATTCTGGAAATGCTCCTACCCCTGTGTTAGAGAAGCCCTTCAATACTGCAAGATCCATTTAGTTGCTGGCTCTTCCACCTCTGAGGAGCCTGAGCAGGGGCAGGATTGATTTCCTTATGTCTTGTGTAAACCAGCATGCCATACTTCCACCTGGCAGGCTCTTTCCTCACACATGACCATTTGTTTCCACCTTCTTCAGGTCTGTTTTTTTTCTCGCTCGCCTTTTCTCCCCGTCAGTCTCTTCTCCTCGGTGACCTTTAGTCCCTCTTCCTTAAAGAGCATGCAATTACACAGCCTATCTAAAACCTAGGAAGGACTCTTAATAAAAGACAGATATTAGCATAGTGTACCCCTGGTGCTCTGCCCAGATTCAAGATGATCTGCTCATATACTTTTCAACTGATGGTGTGGAACTGAACATGGATCACACATGCCAGGGAAATAAATGCTACCTATTTTTATTATTAAGTTCTCTTATTGGTTATACTGGCAGGGGCCTTGTCCTTACGCATTAAACATGACCTTGATTAATGCTCATGTTCTCCTCATTTGTTCAGTGGCTGATTTGGAGGCAAGCAGAGCCATGAATGCATTGATGGCACCCCGATTATTAACTGGTCCTGTTCTGAGCCTGGATTACAACTGCTGCTTTTATTTTTCCTCATGCCTTATTAATGCTTTGTATTAGCTGTGCTGATTGTTAATGGAGGAGTTAATTTGTCATGCTCATATTAAAGAGGAGCCTGGTTTCTAGGATGTGCTAACGAACCAGATGTTCTCCCCCACAATCTGCTTTGTTACACAAAGGCCAAATTTCTGCAGTACAAAGAAGGCCACTCTTCTTTCAGGGAAAACACACTATTTATTTTAAACGTTCTCCATGATGCTGGTCCCGTTAGCTCCGGCCTTGGCATGCAGAAGGGCCTGAACACAGAAAACACTCGGGTCCCCGGTGCCGCCCAAATGCACGGCTGACCTGCCGTCAAGCAGCCCCAGGGGATGAATTCGCTGCCAGACCTGCCCAACGCGTGAGAGAAGCGCCAGCCCGTCTCCGGCAGCTCAGGCACGGCCCAGCCGGCGTTCGCCCCGGCGGGACC